TTCAGGTGATGATTTCAGGAAAAGGAAGGCAGATATATCATTTATTTATTGTTTGTAGAATTCTGAAGTAAATAAAGTATCTTTTGGTTTGGTGAGTTCTTTAGCATGTTTTAAAGGTCAAAATATGTACCCACAAAGTGCAGAAACCAGGACATGAGTAGGAACAAAATACAGTTTTGACCCTTGTAAACTTACTTTGGAAATGTAATGGATGAATTGTGAAGCATCAGATAGTAACATCATCTCCTTACTATAGCTGATGAGAAGGACACAGAAGTTGGAGAAGATGACATACTCTTTAATGTTCAAATGCTAGAGCTGAATGCATCTCAGATAGGAACAGGTTGCCGTGGCAACAACAAAAAAAGGCAGCTGTAAGTTCCAAGAAACCTACCTAAGGCCTTAAGCTTTAAATTCTTAATATTATGTATCTAGATAGGATGAATAGATTCTTGAGTAGTCAGAGTAATTATACTTCATAGGAGTTCTGAGTTCTGAGTCCAGGTTTTAAAAGTGCAGATAGGTGACCGGGAAAGGTCAAAGAAAACATTCATGCCTTAATCAGCCGCTGATTAGTGGAGGTTCTTGGGCTAGGCAGTGTAGTTAGTAAAGAATCAAACTCCCAGAATAAGGGTAGGGTTCTATCAATCACAGGGGACAGCTGAAACCTTTAGTCTTTCCAGATTCAGGAGGCGAGCAAGCCACCACTCTGGAGCTTTTCATTGAGCACGGTGGGTACCAAAGCCCTTTCTAGTGAACACCTCCACTAGACTGGGGAGTTTGTGGATTTGGGGAAGATTTTTTTTTCTCCTCAAATTGGAAACCTTTCCTCAAAAGAAGCAGTATATCCATGTAGTTACAAAATAAAAACTATATATCATCACCTTCCCTCTCCATTCACTCTTTTCTCCACCCAGCCCTTCCACTTGGGTTACAACCATATGGTCTGTTTGTGTGTTTTCCTTTCTTCTTTATTTAGTAGCTTTCTCTTCCTTTTTTTTTTTTTTTGTCAAAAATGCAGCATATCCTATATACAGCCTCATCGTTGAAAAAAAAAATCTGCTGGATATGCTGGCGGACATCTTTAATTCAACCACTCAGGAGGCAGGCAGGAGGATATCTGAGTTTGAGGTCAGCTGGTCTACAAAACAAGTTCCAGGACAGAAACAAAGACAAAACAAAAACAAAAACAAAACAAACAAACAAACAAAAAACCCCAATCAACCAACCAACCAACCAAACAAACAAACAAAAACCCTAAAAATGTGTTTTGGTAATTTTGCATATCAACACATACAGGTTTTCTGCAGAGTATTACATTATATAGATATATCACAATTACCTCAGCAATCCTTTACAGACGGGCCTCTTCTGAATATACTAACCAAAATTAGTACACATTCAAACGTTAGTATACAAAGTGCTTTGTATATGTAAGCAGAAGTCTTATTTGTAAACAGCAAAGCTCAGAATACTTCTGGGTATGATTGTGCCTGTAATGCATTTGGCATCACCAACTGGAAGCTTTGATACCTGTACAGCACAACTTTCTCTGTGAGCAGAAGAATTAGGTTTTGTACATCAATATAGCAGGGGCATAGCAAACAATCTTTGAAGAATGAATGCAGTATCCCCAAGGGAATAGAAAGAGCACATTGTAGGTATTGTAGGAAACTTCTGGCTACTTTTATCAGCATTCTATGGGGTATAATCCAGCAATGTGTGAGGAGAGTGGAGATCCTGACCTTTTAGTGATTAGTTCCCATAATGATCTCAGTCCTATGAGCCAGTGAGGGACCCTGCGAGTCACAGAAAACCAATGTTTAAAGAGAACAAATAAAGCGTTACTTTACTTCCAGGAGCAAAGTTGGTCTGATTTTCAATCAGGGATTAGGAATACTGCATAGTGTAACCTCATATCTTAAACAGGGAAATTCAGGTCAGGTCCATTGCAGGGAAAACAGTTGGTACACGTTAGTATCAGCTACCCTTCAGCTTCTCTTCTGCTTTGCCAGGTTGCCAATGCAACCGCAACTTGTTTTCTTTTTGTGGAAGGGCCAGGCATGGGATCTGATGAGGGCCCTATGTCACTCACTGTCTTTGTAGTGTCTGAACAAGGGCTCTCCTAGTCACTCTCCACTTAGTTTGGGATTGTCTCACTGCTCCTTGGTGTCACCTCTGGTATTTGCACCAAAGGTTATCATCATTTCCATTTGGCCAAGAACAAAAGTTAGCTGCTAGGAACAGGGCATGTCAGGGCTGTGGGTTCTTCCTTATTTAGTCTGTTAGTCAAGTCTGGGGATGGGATGGAAATGATGCCCTGGAAGCCGAGGCTGCATCAAGTGCAGAAACCGTATGTAGGCACCCAAAACTAAGGACTTCATGCTTCTCTTTCCTGTCCTGTACATTGCCTAGACAGCATCTGGTGTTTTAACATATCTTCCTTTGGCCCTTGACTTTGCCACCCAATCAAGATAGCTTTTCCTTTTGCTGTTTTGAGACAGGGTTTCACTATGTAACACTGACCTGGAACTTGTTATGTAGACCTGGCTGGTATGGAACTCATATAGATCTACCTGCTTCTGTCTTGTGAGTGCTAGGATTAAAGGTGTGTGCAGCTGTGTCTGGCATGCATGTGAGCTTTTATTTTAGTTACCACAACCTTTGAGTTTGGTTCAATACTTGCTGCCTAAAATTTGATAATACCTGCCAGATAATCTCTTTAGGCCTCCCCTGCCTCCTACTACAGCTTGTCCAAAAGGCTGTCTTAGTTATTCCTCACAGCAAGCAAAATGCTCCCCACTGTCCTCTTCCTCTGTGACCCCAGTCCAGTTCCTGGCATAGCTGTGTGTATATTCTTTTCTGACCATGACAGCTTTGGTTTTCATTTTGTCTGACTTCTCATTCTTGACTTCTTCACTGTTCATTTTCATTTCTGCAGATCTTCTCTCTGCTACTTGCTCTTCCAGGATACCCTATTCCTCCCCTTTCTCCTGGACAAGTGAACTTAGAGGTGTGGCTTCACTATTATCTCGGCTGTCTTCATCAATGGATACTCTGAGTTTAAGCTTGAATTTATAATATCCTCATGGATATAGGTCAAAGTCAACCCAGTGAACACTGAAGTTACCATTGTCCCATGAGGCGATGCCTTTCTATTTGTGATCCTTAGGTTCTTAATAACTTAAGCTTAATATGTAAACTTTATAATTCTTAATGTAATATTAGGATAGCCATTAATCTATTTTGTGAATCCTGACAACTCTGTTTCATAAATTAATCAACTGATTTTTCTTTTCTTTTTTGAAACAGGGTCCTACTATGTAGCCCCTGCTGTCTTGGAGATAACCAAATAGAACAGGCTGGCCTCAAACCCATCGTGATCCACCTACCTCTGCCTCTTGGAGTGTTGGAATTTAGAGATACAGGCCTCTACACCCATAGTTACCTGATTTTTCTTTTTGAGGCAGGGTTTCTCTGTAACCCTGGCTGTTCTGAACTCACAATGTAGACTGGGGTGGCCTCAAGATCTGCCTGCTTCTGCTTCCCAAGCACTGGGATGAGAGGCATGTGCCACCACCACCCAGTGTTAATTGAGTCCTTAAGCTCACAGATATGATCTAATCAAGCTCTGAGCCAATTCTCCCACTCTTACATCTCATCTCTGCTTTTACTCATGATTTCCTTTATTTGAAACAGAACGGGCTCCAGTTCCTGCGTGTCTGTGTCCTGCTCTCTCAGCCAAGTGTCTGTGTTCACTGCTTCTGTGTGTAACACCCTTACCTGGGGCTCATCTCGTGACTGCAGAGCCCAGTGGAAGGCGAAAAAGTGGGGCTCCTTGTCATAAAAGTAGGCAAAGTTATCTTCTGTTAAAGCTATTCATGGAAAGCCTTTCTCTTTTTCCTGTGTGTGTCTTCGGTTTACACACAGAGTCTCCTGTCCCATTGCACTTTGCCTACAGAACACAAGCTCACAGAAAACATTGTTATGTTCACAATGGTGAGAACAAAGCACTGGTGTCAACACAGGGCAGGGCTATGGGCCATTAAGTCAGGCTGCTTGATCTTTCTGAGCCTTCCTTAACCCTGCCCACCTTTCAAAAGGCAAGGCCAGGCTTCGCTAGCTAACCAGATTTTAAAGCTTCTGCACGCTGGGCCTGTCTCTACTTTCCTCTGAAGATGGTCAAAGCATTCTCCTCTGGGCTTCTCTGAAAACCCTTTCTACCTCCCATTAGTCCCCAAGTCTGAAAGCAGGGACTCTTGGAAGCTACTACAGGAGTCACAGACAATTACTGCCTAATGTTTGCTGAAAATCAATTAAAGAGAGCAGTGCTAATTTTGAAGCCATGTGCAAAATTTTCAGGAATTGCCTTCCTTTCACTTATCAGACAAAGAATCACTATAAATACCAAAGTCCATATTGTCTAATTGCCTGGCAGTGCCTCCTTTGCTCCCTCGCAGTTGCTACATTGACTTGTATTGCTCTTCTAAGAACACTCATATCAGAAATTATAATTGGATTGTGTAATTTGTAGTTCTCAGAATGTACGAATCTACTGGCTTACTCAAATATTTTAGATACAAGCCAATGCTTCCAACCTTTTAAAAAAAGCTATTTTGATTAATAAAAGGAAGGCTTATTGAAAATAAATCTATACATTTTAGTAAAAACATTAATTTATTTCATGGTTATGCCTTTCATAAAGACCCGGAAAATTCTGTCCATAGACAAGCAAAGATCTTCATGGAGCTGCTTGGAGAAACAGGAAACCCCAGTCTGCAAAAAGCTCCGACTTCCCACCCTGGCTGAGTACTCTGTTAGCTTAAGAACTGGTATCCAATTCACACCTTCCCACACATATCCATCTTTTCATATATTTTGAGCTGAAAACTGAGAAAGCTCATTTGTGCTTGGGGATAAGTTGCTTAAAAAAAAACATGATAAAGTGGAATCATTTGGACAGAAAACATTAATTAAAAGAATGCACCACAGACACCGCATCACTAAGAAAGCCAGTAACTTTACTGAATTGTCTGCAAAATACAAATTATACCTTATTTCCAGCAGGAGAAACTTTTGAAAATTTCCCACTTTAATTCACTACAGACAGCTGAATTTAAGTCCCTTGAGATACACAGATGTGGTTTAACTTAGGTATAACATCTTGTCATCTAGTGGCGACAAAGTCCAGCTTATGCCGCTGTGAGCCTCTGTTTGAATACTTGTTGCAAATGCTTGTATGCCCTCATTTACAAGCTATTTAATTACTCTCATTGAATGGAAACAAGTCCTCAGAAAAGGAAAAAGAAGAAAAATGACACAGCAAACCATCTGAAGCAATCCAAGTCCTATGCCTACAGTGACCCGGGTCTGTTTGCTCCAAGAGTACACTGCTTCACTCAGATCACAACAGGATCCATCACTTAGCGAACCTCCTTGAATTAAACTGAGGTATGAATCAATTTGAGGTATGAACAGGGAAGGCAAAATGCAATACCCGATTAGGAAAATAACCAAAATGGACAAATTTAATGCAGAAGATATGTGGCTTGGATTGCTCCACATCTTTGGTTAACACATAGTAAGAAAAGCCTTTAATTACATCTGTAGTCTGAAGCATTCTACCAGACACCAGTATTCAAGCAATCTTCAAAAGATCTGTAGTGGCAGGAAATTAACGCCATACAAGTGACGAAACCATAGCAGATGGCACAAAGGAAAGCAGATGAAGTATGCCATGCTTAGGCAACAGCCTTTATTGAAGGTTCAAGTGGCTTCGTCTTCAAAAATTTTTTTTTAAAGAAAGAAATACAAAGCATTTACTCTCTGGGGGGAAAAACACACAGGAAAGGGATCAAGTAGTAAAATGGTATCTCTAAGGTAAAGGGTAGGTATGTCAAAAACAAACACAGAGAGGTGCGAGAGGGCAGACATGGTCTTAAAACATGTATTGGGATTTGTTTTGCAATTCTCACTTTAGTTAACCTTTAGATGATCTAAAGATGACAGGCATTTTCATATTCATCATTACAAAATGTTAAATTCCACCTTTGGGAAAAAAATAAGCCATTTTACTAAAAAACACAATTTTAAAAAAGGTTGAAATAAACAGCCTCCTCACATCAATGCATACAGTATACAGGTTGTGCAGCTTGCATATGCTGCCACACCGTTACCAGTGGTTTTCAGCTTACTGTTACCAAAATTCTGTTAAAATAGGACTAGGTATAACAATACTTGCAGCCATGTAAAATGCCACTTACAGTTCTACTTGCAATGATGAATGTTGTCTAAAATGCTACTCTAGGCCAGGCAATGTAAAATAATCCCTCAGAGCTCTGCCCAGACTCCTGGACACAAAGGACTTTCTGTGATTAAAAAACCACCGTACTAGATTTGCAAATACAGTAAGTGGTGAGTTACAGGGAAGGCAGAAGGGTAAAGACAGACAGACACTGACTGTTCATAGAGTGTGACTGGTCACAATAAAAATTGTGCTTCTCATTAAATCATCTTTAAAAATTCTTAGATTATCCCTTTACTGTCTGCTACTGCTTTGAATTCAGTAGTGGGAAGGAGGTGACTGGAATCCATTTTCAAGTGAGTCTGTTCTTCTCGAGTTTGTAAAAAACTATTGTCAGAAGTGCTACAAACAGCAGAGGCCTTTGCTGGCACATTCGCTTACTCTATCTTTAGCATTAGAAACTCATGTTTGCTTTTTTGCCGAGGCAAATGGCAGGTAAAATTTAATATGGCTATTTCTTCATATTTTTATATGACCCTTCCCCACCCACTGGCAAGATTCTAATGATACTGATAAACTAATGTATTTTGAAATGACAAAGAACATTTGTGATGCGCTTGCATATTTAATACGTACTAAGTTATAAACATGAATCGTCAGGATGGAATCAAGTCTAGAGTGAAATAATGACTGATTTTCATTTTCACTTCATGTGCACACACGGACATGCAAACAGGTGTATAGATAACCATGTTTGCAGGGATGTTTTCCTATTTTTCTTCTGCATAAATACTAGTCTTCATGTTCCATGGATACCTTTAGTAGTGGGATATATATGAAATGACTGATGTCTTTATTTTATTTTTAATATATAAAACATTACTACAAGGCAGGCTAGCATCCTATACGGATACAACCAAAGGTGCATCGTGGTCTAATCATGGATTGCAGATCAAGTTAAGAAAAATATAGCCTCGTTAATAAGGTCTTTTGGCTTCTGCCACCCAGCGGCAGCCTTTTACAGTGAGAAACACATAGCAACTATGCAGGTAAAAGGAAATAAGAATGGATGAATGTGTCCTACACATGATCTAGCAGGACTGATTTTTTTTTTTTTTTTTTTTTACCATAGTCTTTGCTCTGCATGTCAGTATGGATGACTGGAGATGAATCGACAGATCTTCACATTCCAAGAGAAGGAAATCTCTTCCTAGCCTGAAATATCACTTTATTAAACACTATATATTGTTTCTTTATGGCACTCACTTTTAAAGGGTCTGAAAACTAATCCCTCACACACAAATATTAGACAAGAGTTAAATTATCATGAAAATTAAAAAAAAGGGACATAGAGAAAGTTTTTGAATGGGAATTCTTGAAATGGATATTAAATCTCTTTATTGAAGAAAAAAAATAGATGCCATACATGCTTTATGCAGAAGTGACATTGGGGGTCCTGACACACCAGGCTGTTCAACGGGTCAGTTAAAATCACGAAGGTGGACGACAAGTAACCATCCCTTAACTGTTTTCCTCCTTTGTAGCACCTGGTCTTTCACATTTTTCTTCTACAGAAATCTGTAACTTATCCACCAAGTAAACTCACATCTCTTGTTCCTAGGGCCCAACTTGCAGGACATGTGACCCAACTTACTCTGGGCATATTTCTAAGAAATATCAAATTCAAGGCTGAACATGAACCATGTAAATTTAGAATATGGGCAAGTTAGGATATGAACTTACTGAATTCCAAGATGCGTGGTGAAATGGAGATATCTGAAAGGGGCCCTGCTTTTGATAAAATGCAAAAAAAAAAAAAAAAAAAAAAAAAAAAAACAAAAAACAAAAAACCAAAAAAAAAAAAATCCCAAAAAACAAACAAACAAACAAAAAAGCACCAAAAAAACAAACAAACAAAAAAAACAACAGAAAAATAGTTTGAAAGAAACCAATTAGTATATACAATGGATGTCAGTTGACCCAATAATTTGCTGATGTTCTAAAAACAATTTAGGATGTTGCAATATAATATGCTCTAACCCCACAGGTTATCCTTTTGACAGCTGACCTTGAACTTATAAAATGTGTGCAGAGTAAAAGAAATCAGAAAGAAAATAGTTACTCAAGTGTGCAACTGCACAAATATACCCCCCTCCCGCTATTAAGAAAACAAAACTTCTGCCATTACCATAATATTATATATATTAGAAAGCTATACACAAGCATGTTAATTTCACAGATTTTTAAAAGATTCTTAATATTTTATATAATTAGAAATACACATTTCAAAAACAAAACTTCTACAAAGAGAAAACAGTTATGTTGGTTAGCAAAGCATGGAGTTCCTCATGGCTTAGGGTAGTGCTTTCTATACAAAAAGTCCTCTGTGGGTTTTTACAGGACTGTTTAAAATATTAGCGAAGCTATTGAGGGGAAAAAACACATTTTGGCTTAAGTAAACTACAAAAAGCCACAAATGCTTTGCAAACTCTTTCTTACCTTTTATATGAAAATAAGCAAAATGTAATGTACATATTTTTATATTTTTTTATTTAATAAGAGATGCAGACCCAGATTTATTTAATTAAATACGTTAGCTCTCAAACGCCACACTGTTTTTTTTTTTTTTTTTTTTTTGTTTTTGCTTTTTTTCTTTTCTTTTCTTTTAAAGTAGGTATGGTCCTCTTTGAATGGTTTCTGATCCTTTTGAATGAGTGCCATACACCAATGATATGCCTGCAGGTTTGTGAGCTTCCTCGGGATGTTAGGTGACCGGGCATGTTCCTAACATTTACCAATGGCCACCCCTTGCCGGGTCTGTCCAAACTTCTATACATTTTTCTATATGTTGCATAACAGCTGCTCTCTTTCAGTAAAGATCTGCCGCTTTTGGCAAATGTTTCCTTTTGTCTATTTACATGTAAATAACGTTGAACCTGCAACATGACACTATCTATTGTAACATACATTTTGCAAAGGAGCACAACAGTGAAGAGAAGTTAGCCTTAAAATCTATTTTGTACAAGTGTTCTGTTGTACAACTCAAGTGCTAAGCTTATCTCAGCATTTCTGTTTATCTTTATACTGTATCACTGAGGCAATTTAAAAGTACTTTTACAAAACAGAGTACCTGACGGTTTTTTTTTTTCCACACACGGCACATATAATGCATATCGACCCCCCTTCCCCATTAAGGTATAGCACACACACACACTGCAAGAAAAAAAAAAAAACTATTAAGTAATAATGTGATCATGTTGCCCATCCTTCAGAGAGTCGCATGCGCTTGACTGAGGGACTTTCCCTTTCGTCTGGCGAAGGTCTGGTGAGTCCAATGGGGGAGTGGAATTCGTTCCGGTGATCCTCCCGGTCGCTCCCATCGTAGGAACTGCTACAGCTGCTCAAGCTATCAACAGGAGACCTCCCCGCCTCGTGGCGCGTGTGTTGTGGGTATCTCGAAGGAGTGGTGGTACGGTCTCTAGGAGGAGAAACAGGTTCTGACTTGATGTTGAGGCTTTGAGTAGAAGGCAGGGAGAGATTTGAACTCTGAGATAAATGAGTGCTAGTGCAAGCTCTGTAGGAGGAAAGGAAACCCAGTTACAGATGGAGGAGGCCTGCAGGCCCCAGGAACTCACATTACAAACATATCAGTTTAACGACTTGCATAGACTCTAGTGCATGCCCAGAGTGAGAAGGGCGGCTAGGCACCGAGTGGCGTCACTGCCTAGAGCAGTGGAGAATGCCTGTGCCTGGTGGGAAACATGCTACTTAACTGGTCCAGGCCTCATGAACGATCTGTAGCCTCCAAGAGACTCTGAAACCATATAGTTTCTTTTTCTTTATTCTTTTTTTTTTTTTTTTTTTTTTTTTTTTTTAAGGTTTGAGACATGATACAAAAGTCATTCTATGTTCATGGAATTTTCCCTGTATCATTTCCAAATGTTTGATTTTCTAAGCCTTGGGGGATGGTGCTTGGCTTTGAACTAGCCTCTCCTGGTTTACTAATGCCTGCATTTGAAAATTATTTTTAAAAACTTATAGCGATATAAGCTTCGTTTCCTTTCAATTAATATGCCAAACAGGTGGAGTTATATAGTACTAAGGGAAAGTGAACAGTTTGAATTCCAAATGAACACAACATAGAAATGTTATACAGCATAGATAACCGATGTAAAGCTTGGGAGGGCAAAGGAGGGGCCAAAGACTGAACATTATCTGCAGGAAATTTAAATATCAGTTTAAAACATCTCATTAAAACTGATACATAGCTGGACTTTCTTTATCTTTCCCAGTTGCATGGGATGAAAATCTTGTTTGTAGTCCTTGTTTCCTCTAACCTTACTCTGGCTAAGCAGGAGTAATGATGTACACAGGGCTGTACTCTTCTTAATTTATAACTAATATTATTGGGTGAATCTGTTGTTTCTTAAGGAAAGGGTGTGGGAAAGAAGGATGGAACATGCTATTACTATCCTTCTAATGCTCACTGATTTCCAAAGAATGTTTTTTGGAGACTTTAGACACGATATTCTGGAAAAAGAAGCATTAAGCTTTAAAGTGTTGCTAGGCAATCAGTGGCTTTGATCAAGGCAAACTGTGGTCACCTTGCATCAACTTTAAGATGTTTTTGTTGTTGTTGCTGCATTCTGATTGCCAGAGCCACGCTAATCCGACTGCAGTTGTCAAGAAAGTAAGTAGTCCCTTTAACTGAGGGATACTCACAGAAAATAATTATCTGTACAGGCACATGAATTTGAAACAAAAGAAACTAAGCCTACCTATTCAAGTATGTAATTGTGCTGATTTCTAATGGGGAGGACTAGATGTGTCTTTCTGAGCAGGGAACAGCGTGAGTACATTTCAGAGAAAAGTGGAATAATTTGGGGCTGGCCTTTTGGGAGATTCGGTAAGGATTAGGGTGCACAGATAGATATAAAATTAGTCAGAAGCGAATTTATCTTTGAGTAATGTTTTATACAAAAGCACCACCTACTGGCAAGGAATTACTTCCCTCTTATTAATAGATGGGCTAACATGGAGGACACTATAAAGAGAATCCCTTGCTGCTTTAATGAGCCTGTCTTTCTTTGGCAGTCTGAGCACTTAGACCAAGATCTCAATCCCAGTGCTCACTGTTTTCCTTCTCTGTTTACTCCTGGAACTATTTATCTGAAGCTTGTTATTTTAGTTTACATTAGTTCTTAATTTTCTGAGACTTTTAATTAAATGATCTTTAAATTGAGACTATGTTGAGATGGGGCAGAAAAACCTGGATTTCAAAGGCTCCATAATGGTGGACTATTTTATACTGCTTCAAAGTCATTTAATGATTCATTTTGATGTTTGAGGAAATCCTCTTTTGATTTCTGGAAGAAAGAGTTTTCCTGGCTCTGGGTATGAAGAACCATTTCACTAACATTTAATTAAACGCTTCTGCTGTGGATCATATGAGCACTTAATAATGAATGTCAATTAGGAGGCTGGAAATGACACAGCACATCAGTAAATACTTTTCTTTACTCTTTCACATTTTAATTTGCATTTCTCTAAACACAGTAGAAAGGGAAATTTTCAAAAACTTAGTGAGTTGGGTCATAGGTAACTTATCTATGTCAATTAAATTAAAAGTTATGTGAGTAAGATGATGTTTCTTTAATGCCACCGGAAAGCTGAACTACCCTTTTATTTGCTTCAGTTCCCAATATCAATGGCAGTGTAGAAGTTTAGAGGCATCTTGTTCCCCCCAAAAGATCAAAGAACTTCTGGTGGTTATTTTTTCTAACTGGAACAGTTTATCAGGTGGTGGAATTTCATTTTGCCACTAAGCATATAGAAAAGTCTATTCTGAGCTGTGTAGTTGAGGGAACTAAATCTACAGTAAAGAGATATAAATGGCCTTTTTTACCTCAACGTCATTTCAATGTAGTGTAGAGTGCAACCCAGAGTGGCTAATCTCTGCTGTCAAAGGAGTACTTTCTTTACAAAAATCAGCATTCACACCGTTTAACTGTCTGTATGCTAGTTTGTTCTTGATAACAAAACATAGCCACAGACAACTGTGAGATGCTACAGATATACGTAGGTGACAGAGAGGTAGGAGGAGAGGCGGGAAGGGGTCAGGTGTATAAGGTACCTTGTCAGGGTCTCTGTGCTAGTTCCAATCCACTACACAGGATTTTAAACTTGGAAAACAACCTGACCCTTCCTCAAAACCATTAAGAAATAAATAGGGATTTTTTGTTTGTTTGTTTTTTTGAGACAGGGTTTCTCTGTATTGCTTTGGAGCCTGTCCTGGAACTAGCTCTGTAGACCTGGTTGGCCTCGAACTCACAGAGATCTGCCTGCCTGAGATTAAAGGTGTGTGCCACCTAATGCTTGGCTTTTAGGGATAGTTTTATGTAAGTTCCCCTCACTCTACCACCCCAAGAAAATTAGGATTTCCTACTATATTTATCTTCTTTTTCCTCTGTGAGACAGTCTATGTATGCCAGTCTGGCCTCAAACTTTAGGAGTTTGACCAGTCTTGGTCTCCTAGGTGCTGGGATTATAGGTTGCCACATCAGGCTCACTTGAGTCCATTGTTTTAAAGATTCATTTTATTTTTATTTATGAATATATGTGTATGTCTCTGCATGAGTTGGTACACTTGTGTGCAGATGTCTAGGGACCAGAAGAGGACACTGGCTTTTCTGGAGCTAGACTTACAGGTAGTTGTGAACCACCTGACATGGGTATCTTGGGTTTTGGGTAATACCAGTAAACACTTTTAGTTCCTGAGCCATCATCTCTCCAGTCCCTGAGCCTCACACCTCACTTTTTTTTTTCCTAGAGGCTGGGTTTCATCACATAGCCCTGATTGACCTGGAATTTACTATATAGAGCACACAGCCAAGAAACCTAGCTTTTAAAAGTAATCTCCATTTAATCTCTCTCTCTCTCTCTCTCTCTCTCTCTCTCTCTCTCTCTCTCTCTCTCTCTCTCTCCCTCTCCCTCTCTCAGTATGTATAGAATACTCTCATCAATGAAGAAAGTTAGTGGACAGACTTCCAGAAAACAGGTTGTCATTTTCTAGACAGCGATCAAAAGAATACCTAAAAGTCAAGGTCTGTGTCGGTAAAATTGTGACTCCCTCAACTAGAAATGGCTCTTCCTACATAAAATTAGTGTGTGTGTCTTGTCTAACTTCATCATATAAAATAGATACTACAAAGTTTCTCAAACCTAGCCTTGCAGACAATGCTGTAAAGGATAAAGTGGACATTTTGGTTTTCATGAACAAAAATGAAGAGTTTTACTATAGTTTGCAATTTGGAGAATTACAGTATTCATTTTAGGATTCTAAAGGTATTGACTTTGGTGGAACTAAAAATCTATCCCATTCTTTGCTTAAAACAAAGTATCTACATACTAAACACAAATCTGTTAGACCCTTTGACTTGGAAAATATATCAATCCTTTTAACTGATTTAATCTCTAAGACAGTGGTTCTCAACCTTCCTTTGCTGCGACCTTTACTAGAGTTCCTCATGTTGTGGTGTACCCAACCATAAAATTATTTTATTGCTACTTCATAACTGTAATTTTGCTACTGTCATTAGTCATAATCTAAATATCTGATATGCAGGATATCTGGTACACAACCCTCCCAAAGGAGTTTTGACCCACAGGTTGAGAACTGCTTCTCAAAGGAATTCAGGCAGTTTATATGCTTTATTTTATATAAACATTATGCTCTGGAGTTCTCTACAAGACAGCATGTAAGGAGACTAGATGACTTTTCTGAAGACACCTTACAAACAGCTACTGTGAGAGGGGATGAAGGAGGAGGCATATGGTGACAGAGGAGGAGAGAGAGGCAGGTGGTGGTGCTGTCTATAAAGATGTAAAGACTTGGTCATCCTATCAGTGTGAGGTGTAAGGGAAGTGACTGAGTACAACTGCAGCTCATAGACTAGATTCAGATTATGCACAAGAAGATCTGGTTTTGGAAGAAAAGGGGGAAGGGTTGATCCTTGGCTGCTGGAACTCAGTTACCCTTTTAGTCTTAGGGTACCACTCATTCTCACGTGAGGGTAGTAGAGAATTATGTTTCCTCATGTGATAATTTTTTAAATTGTGTGTAGGGTCAAAATAATGAATATATGTATACTCTCATAATTAAAAATGATCTGGAGTCATTCTCAAGCAAAGGAAAAATGGCATTCCCATAAAATGACATGGCATAAAATTGTATTATGTATTCATTTATCCTGTGTATGTGAGCCAAGTGCATGAACATCTTTAGAAGTTTACCCTCTTCTTCCACTATGTAGGTCCCAGTAATCAAAGTCAGGTTGTCAAGGTTGTTAATGAGGCTTTGTGACAAGCACCTTTAGCTATTGAGCCATCTGGCTGGTCATTATTTGGCTTGGGGGGATGGAATTTAGTGCTATGATAGATGAATTTTGTGAAAAATTAGAAAGGAACAGTTTCCCTTATTACTGACAAGTAGGTCAGTACAATGCTGTGTATATATATATATATATATATATATATATATATATATATATATATATAAATTGTCTGGACAGTATTATGTACTTAGTGATAATTTCCAGAAGAGTTATTGCAATTAAAATCTACTTGCACTGGAGAGAAGATTTAAATGTCTTAAAAAAGAGCATTGTTGACCAACATTTCATACATTTTTAACTGCAGCACTCTTTCCAGAAGGCACAGCCATAATGCCACATACATTTGTTTTATTGTGCACATAGAAGGCTAGATTTCAATGACAGAGATGTCTCCGTGGGATGGCCATACCAAGTGACTGTTGAGTGGTATCTGAGATCTGTGTTACATCAATACTAAATGAAGTTCAGTGGGGAAGGGGAGAATAGAGGGCAAGAACGATGAAGTTATAGTAGCAATTCGTGACTTTTATTTGAATAAATAGATCTTTCTAGGCATAGAGATACAGAACGAGTTAATTAATATTACTAACTCATAACTAAAATGGCTCAATAGAAAACTGAATGTGGGGTGGGTATTTAAGATGTTTCTAAGGTATGAGAATTCATCTCTAAGTAGTTTTGTCCTATTTGTTTTTAAAGATTGAATTGTGTAATTATTATTTCAAATTAAAATGAAGTGTCTTGTTTAACTGTTATAAGATGAAGTGCAAATTGTGGATTCAGGGCATTTTAGAGTTTGAGTTTCCCCACAGATAAATGACAGAAGTCATTTCTATGATGCATCTCAAAGCTACCACAAGGGGGCAGAAAGATACATACTTTGACCAGAAAACAACCAAAGTTATTTTTATACCCAAATTCAGTAATTAGTATTGCATGTGTTAATTAGTATTTGCCCATATATTTTAATAAAATGGATATAACTAGACAACTATCCTGCTAATTAACATTATACATATTTAAAGCCTGTACAGAAATCAACAGTTGATTCTATGAACATTAGGTTCTTATTAGAGGAAAAAGTATGTAGTTTGTGCTAAGTGAGAACCTCAGCAAAAAATGTAAAGAATTATAACTATAAATACCTTCAAAATTTCCAAAAAAAATGTAATCCTGCAGAAATCTAATCTAAAGCTCCATCACCAACAGAGGTAGAAGAACACAGAGCCTCACACATTAAGGAAAGAGTGTGCTTAACTATTAGTGCTTCCCAGTCACGTAAAAACAAAAACAAACATGAAGCGATATCTAAACTACCTGAAATGTGATCTGAAAGTGTCTTTCACAGAAATCACGTTCTACATTCTTTAATAGATACAAAATCATGTTGTTAAAGACAGGACTTTATCATTTAAAAACACAACTTATGGTTACGATAGAAAGACACAAATATTGCTTACCCCAACTGACTGAGGGCAGATGGCGGCATGTTGTGTAGGTGCTGCTGTTGCCAGCCAGTTACAGAGCCAAGGTGAAGAGCACTGGCAGTGTTGAACCCAGATAGAGATGACAGGTCTGCGCTGCTCAGGGAGTACTCTAGATGAAGGAATGTAGGGGAGGAGGAGACAGTTAATGTGGAAACCGTCAAGTGGCAAACAAAATTAAACAGTTTCAATTTCTAAAACATGCTTAAGTCAAATGTTATGATTCGAAAAAAGAAGAAGAAGGAGAAGGAGAGGGAAAGGGAGAGGGAGAAGGAGAAGAAAAAGATGAAGAAGAAGAACCACCAGGGATAATTTTAATTTAAAAAGAAAAATATTATCACCCAAGTAAGGATTTCACAAAAGATTTCAAGTGGCAGCTCCTGCAATTATAGTTTATTACACTAACTTTGTTTAAAAGTGTAACGTATACACTTGTTTCATGGTCTAGAAAGATTTTTTTCATTTAAAAATCTCAAGAAAGTGAGCTCTGTATTACAGTAAAGAGACAGTAGCTCATTTTTCTTGACATTTTGAATTTACTTTGGGGAAACAGAACTTCCAGGTACTTAAAAAAGCACTGTAGACAAACGCTTTGCCTTCGTAAAGCATGTAATGGTACAGTGCGGTCTGAACCCAGGCACCACACAAGCTCCCTACAGAGTAAAGAAAATAACTCCTAAAATATGCTTTTCAAAGAAGTGTTTACTGTAATATTTGCACATAGCAAAGCTACTCACCAGTACCATATGTTGTTGAAATGGCTGACGGATACCCTCCCATTCCTTGTCCTGGTAAAGTAGGAGTTGCTACGGAAACCACTGGGGTAGCCAATGACTGAGCCGACTGGGAGTTATTTATCCTTTGATTCTTTTAAAGTAAATAAAAGGACATTATAGATGTCAGATTTTAAAAAGTTCAAAATACCAGGTCTCACTATTAGTTTTTCACATAAAGAAATAAGTTGGTACAAAGCTCATGAAATTAATCATTTAACATGTGTCTCTATGAACTCTGCCAACCCTATCATTTACAATCCTTCAAGAGACCAGCTGTTGCCATAGTAACCCATTACATCAGTATCTCCTAGGCAACTGAACTAGTAACAAGTACCATAGCTTTATTATGGGTAAAAACAGACTATGTTGAGAACTGATGAAATATGTATACTGTACTGCTATTGTTTCAGTTTTTATTCAAATGCAAATTAAAAAATTAAAATCAACCACAGTGGGTTGGTTTTATGATCAGTTAGCTCTATATGCTGCCGAGCTGACGGATATGGATTCATGCTGTATTCTGACCAGCAGGTGGTGCTCTGACCACTTTTTTCAGCTTCTAAACTTCCTTTCAAAGAAGGCAAAGTAGCTAATGCCAGTAATTAGCTCCTTATAACAAGGAGGTAAAAGATGCATTCACTTAGAATAATGGTATTTTAAATCTTGAAAAATAGGCATTTTACTGTTTGATAACTAAAGAAATATTTTTTTGTGTGTTTGGATTTTAGAGTTAGTTCAGTCTGAAAATATTTAAAACATGGCCTTTAGTTAAAAGGTGGGGACAGGGGAAAAAGGCCCACAAAAACCAGATGTTCCTTCTCATCTGTCAGAGACCCTAGGAATTAATGATACTTAAGCATAACCAATAACCTCATTCAGTAAGGTAAATTTAACATCCTTCCATTTGATCCTAACTGGCACCTTACACTAAAGTAGTTTTGTTACCCTCCTGAACATGCCCTCCAAGGGAAACATTCTTACCACTTACCAACAGCAGGTCCACATCCTCAGGCTGAGAGCATGGGGAAGGAGTTTATTAATTAGTGTCTGTAAATATTTGTAACTGTGAAATCTTTTCAACAAAAGGAGAAGCATCCCCTGATACACACAACAGTTTTAGCAGCTTTGTACACCAGACTCCAAAGACATCTCCTTAACAAAGACATTCTTTGTTTCCCTTAGTGAGGTGCTGGTCCCGAAGGGAAGGCAATCTATCTGGGTTTCAGCACAGGTCAGGGTCTCCATGTTCATTATTTCACCACCATATTTTGATAAAAAAATAAAAGGACTGTACTTTAAACCCTACTTGCTAGAGGGAAAGGGGCTCACATCTGACAACCAGAAGAGAGACATGACCTGCCACTTGCAGAATCCATGGGAATGCATCAGTTTTAAGGGATGAGGGATAAATTTGCTGAGAAACACTGCTTGCCATGCCTGGCCCACACTGACTGCATCACTGTGGGAGGTTTTATTTATTAGACCCAGTCTTTTCTAAAGGGAATGTCACATATTATTTGATTTTTGCTAGATACTAAAAAAGAAATGAATATAATAATAAACCAATCAGTTCACAGAACTATTTTACTCTTAAGCATGCCGCAGAACAGAGAATTCTAAAAAACAGAAAGAAATATTTGTAGAATAATTTAAATCTGCCTATTAAATCTTTCTTACAAATGTATAAATGTTCTCACTGGTAAATACTGCTGAGTTGGAGGACATTATTTATCATCTATCTGTCTTCTATCTATCTATCATCTATTTTTTACCTACCTATCTATCTTTATTTTTGAGTTTGATTCCACAATATTCTTAGGTATGAGTTTCATAAGCAAGAAAATGATACAACCTTAGAATATTACAAATGCTGAAGTCTATATTTTATATTTCTATATTTTCCCTTAAAATATGTCACTACATTTTTTTTTTGTTATAAAATATAACATTGGTTCTCAAATTTTCTTGGGCTTTAACAAAGCTTGTTTTTGAGGGTTAGTAGTTTTCTTAAAGTACGTGTAGGCAAAGATGAGTTGAGACAATGCAAAGGCATGTGGTCTGTTAGATATTAAAGAAGTGATACCTAAGAAAGGGATTTCCAATTAATATATGAAATTTCTTTTCGGAATGAGGGTAAGTATTTTTCACTGTCACTATCGTGAGAACATAGCTCAACAATGTAAAAATACTTTCACAAAGTACTTCATAATTACTCTTCCTATGGGATATGATTTGATCAGTAGTAGAATGGTTTTTCTAACTATAAACGGAGAACCTTAGGAAGAATTGTTTTTTTCTTATTCCAGAAAAGTAACCCCGAAGAAGAATTTATTGGATTTCTTTTAATATAGAAAAGGAAAATGCAACATCAGTTAATACAGTCCCATCAATAGGATTAAAAGCACCATTAGTCAATAGTGTTAACTGTCTGGTTTGTCCTAAGAAATTCATATCTAGACAAATACTAGAATAGCAAAACACATCCAGATAAGCTATCATCAACACACATTAAGGACAGAGTTGTGCATTACCACTGATGGCATCGTGTTCTTGCTGCCCGGTGGAATAAGAACTCGGAGATCTGGTTTACGGTTATTCATCCCTAGATTCATAGGGGGAGGAGATTTGGCTTGTATATTCTTGTTCAAGTTACCAGGTGAGACCAGCAGACCTGGTGAGTTTCGGGGGTTACCATATCCATTCCCTGTTAATACAAAACAGTGACAGAGTTCAGGGAGAAATCTAGATTCAAGCGTGTTTTTAAAGAACATTTTGTATGAGAATAAAAGGAAAAGCTTAACTGTGAGACATCCATAGGAACACACAAAAGCTCATAGGCTGTTTTAACTGCTGCATGAAAGGCAGCAACCCAGTTAATTGTTTCATACACCTTTGGAAGAATATTAAAAACTTTTTTTTTTTTGTGAGAAGAGAGGGAATCTTTGTTAACTTGATCAGAAATCTACATATCATATGCTTTTTCCCCCCTATTAAGTTCATCTTTCCCCTCCCCCGGAAGAAAGTCAGACAGCCAGTTCAGGATCTAAGAAAAGCACAGAATTGGTCCTGCACTTTAATTGACTAGTTTGGCGGAGGCCGGGCTGGAGTGACTCACTCTTTCAGTTTGTTGGTTTGGGTTTTATTCTGTGTGTCTGTGCATCCTTGGATGAAGAAGGGGCAAGGCGGCAAGGCTGTAATTTCTAGGGCAGGCGGGAGGAGGGGAAGCTGCACACACATTTACTGTTCAGTCTCCCCAGCTCTCAGTGAATACTCTTCATGGTCGTTCTTGTATCTGGTTCACCATTCTCACCAAGTTCAGTACACAGCCTAAAGCCTTCCTTGCATGATTTCCTGCTCATGAAAACCTTCCAAAGTGACAGCACTCAGGCACTGAAGCTATGATGCTGCCAGTGAAATCCTGAGTCAGTCAGACACATGGAAAGCCACTAATTGTGAAGAAGGATTAGGGTTCTCTTAGGATCTGATATTCAGCTTCTTCCTAACAAAGTGGGCATTTGAAAGCTTCCACTTCCCCTGACAGAAACAGCGAAGGAGTTGGGTGGAAAGGCAACTGAACTGGAGTAAGAGCTGACTCAAAAAGCTCTCTGCTGGTTTCTCGTGGAGAATAGGAGAAACCCACCGCTGGATTTAGTAATGCTCCCTAGATAACCAGGCAGTTGTTTTCCAAGGGCCACTGAAGGAGGTAGTTAAACTTCCTTGTTATTGTCATCATCTCAAAAGACAAGTATCTATTACTCTTAGAAGGATGAGACCAAATGCTACTCAGTGAGGAGGGAAAGACAAAGCTATAGCCTTGCAAGGCTCTGAAATTCCTTTGTAGTAAAGCAGTGCACACTTGTGTACAAATAAACAAGACAACCTAAGGCATGGTGCCTGTAGAATAATATAGATTATACATGATTCAACTTCTATGGGAGAACAGGTTGCCTAATGCAGGTTAAGGAACTACTTTACTTCTCAACAAAGACGTAGTTAAGCCTATGACTTGGGTGACAGAGTATGGGTTGGGTTAAAGAAGGATTTTACCCACCATCCTTAGGAAAGCTGGGAGGAATGTGAAAAGGGAGTGCTCCATGGAGGACTACAGAAGTCGGATTGTGTTAATGTGGTAGAAATGGAGACCACCCAACATTTCAGAGCAGAGACAGAACTGGCTCCTGAGTGGTCATATCTATAGGCACTAAGAAAGCCTGGACCTGGAAAAGCGCAGTGGCATGTATCATTCTTGACACTATTGCAATGGTTTCAGGTAGACAAGGAGATGGGAAAGGAAAGCACAGGACTATTTGAAGAAGATTCTTACTTGGACCTTCTGCTAAGTGGATATTAATTGTACAAAGTAGTGGTTTCATTATGACATGCTCAAGCATGTATACAATATACTTTGATATATTAATCCTTTGTTGTCCTTTCCAACCCATTTTGGCTCCTGTCTCCTTAAACTGTCCCTCTGGGGGATAATTTTTGGACTAAAATCTAACTGGAGCATGTGATCCAAAACACATTTGTTCTTCATATCCAATTCATTTATCTGTTTGTTTCATGAATAAATATATAGGCTGAATATATAAAAACTGCAAGATTCAATCTTACAATTAAATTATGGACAAAATTAACAAGTTTCTTGAGGCAAAACTAAAATAAAACAAACGAAACACCCCCAATACATGTGTCAACTACCAAGTAGTTGCTTAAGAAATTTGCACTGAATTTGAATATAAATTAGTCTTCTATTATAAAACATCAAGAAAAGTTGCTAAATTACAGCTAGATAAATATGTCAAAACCCAATTATCTGTTATAGTTAATTTGGACAGTGTTTGGTAGTAAAAGTTCTTATATAAAACAATACATTTACCTTTTCTCACCACGAGAAATATAAACAAATTATATTTCTAAGAAAAAAGATAGGAAAGGGAGGGTACTCAGAGGAGTTTTTTATTTAATGTGTCTCCCTGGACCATTATTTTGTGTTAGGGCCTTAGACTGAATTGTGGAGTCTCATGGATAAAAAGGAAATGAGAAAACCAAGAATTTGCAGCTTGCATTCCCGTCCCCTGAAGTTCAGACCGGCACACTGAGCTAGCTACATGTGTCATGTACATGTTAACCCTGGGTGAGAGATGGTTTAAATAAACAATCAAATGGAAAACTAGCCTAGTAATTTCAAAAGAAGAAGAAGAAATGTCAGTTAAGCAGTGCAGTGAAGCCTGAACAGATGAGAAGAAACTAAAACCCTGCCTGGGTAGAAGCCGGTGCTGGTTTGCATGGAGGAGTGATTCTGCTAAAAGGAAGTAAAACCGCTTCGTAAAATGTGCTGTCCTGAGATATGACAAACACAGGGCCAGTGTGAGAAAATGGAAAGGCTTCACGGAGGCTGTGACAAGACTCTTTAAAAATATTTTCTATGGTAAGCTCAGAGACATTCCAAAAAAAAAAAAAAAACCCTCCGTCTTTCTGCCCACATTTTAAAACAGCGATTTGAGGCAGCAGCGGGAGGGAAAAGGGAAACATACATGCACGGGTTTTCACTCAGTAAACACCTCAGAAATAAAAGCTGAATTAAAAACTGTTCTGTTTCTCCCTTGAAATGTTTCCTGTTATTTGGAAATTACACCACTTTAGAAGATTAGTTACATATTTTTAAGGTATTTACACATTGAATGTAAAATATTTTCAGCTCTGATGACATTTTTTTACATTTATATTTTTAGAGCATAGTTATTTTTATGAACAAATAAATTCTATTTTTTATGAGTGAATTTCTGCTATTTTTAGCATATTGTGCCAGCTAGCATTTTGGAGCCGTATAATAACCATTTATGTTTCCAGCCACCAAATTGTTATTCTTTTGGCATAATATAGATTCAGGAATGTGAGACTGTGGACCCTAGACCAGTGATATTGAAACCTATCATTTGGAAATCAATGATGAATACATGTGTGTGGTTTATTGCTAAGAAGAGCCTGCATTTAAGCTGGCTGGGAAACCACAGCCTCCTCCTCACTCGGAATGCTTTAGCCCTGTGTGGAAGCTACTGTCCCACCTTAAGATAAATTCACCAGAGAGCATGGTCACATTTAAATTCAGGGGCCAGGACGTGGGAAATACCACTCTCAACAACCTTCTAATATACAGATTCAACTTTCCTGATGCTGTGTTTTAAAATTATACTCCACTTGGACAATTATCAATTTAGACGTGACTGTATGCAGATGTCACATTCTTCTGACCACTTAAAAGGACACAAATTATAAAGTACGGCAAATGGATTTCCTGATTATAGATTATAGGAAAATGAGGTACAGACCAACTTTAGAGTCCAATGAAGCTTTTTATGGTCTCATTTGATTAAAATATTGTTTCTTATAAAACAATTTAAGCTTTCATGATGTAACTTATGTAAAGGATAGCAGATTCTACTAGTTGCTACAAGAGTATAAATAATCAAAATTAGTGTAAATATTCAAGATTTGAAATATAGTGTTAATTTTCCTCACAGTTAACTTAAAACATTTTTTTTGTGTTTTCTACTTCATTTGCTTTTATTCACTCCTATTTTAGGAAGCAGTAAATTCAGGGAACACACTCCTGGCCGAAGATATAAGGTGGGCCACTTGTCCTCGTCACACAGAGCTCAGTGGAGCACACACTCCTGTGAGCCCACCATTCTAAAACTTTCTTTGATTTGAACACTTGGGTATTGTGAGTCTTTTCATTTTCTTTTTAGTTTTTCTTTGAATTTTTCAATCACCAATAAAAGCACATAACGTTAGTAAGCCCAAAGCTGAAACTAATCGTAGGGCCCGGGGCTAGTTAATTTTTGCAAGGCAGTCTTATCTTCCAAATTGTAAACTTTGACCTTTTGTTCCCCTGCCTCCATCTTTATAATCTATAAGATACCAAATCTTTCTCAATTTTCTCAAAAAAGCCTGTATGCATTTTTTATTACCATCATTCTTATATAGCCTTCAATCCCCATCTGACTTAGTCTTTCAAAACTCTCCACCTATTAATCTGTTCTCTAGCTGAAGGATTCCTCTCCATGTCCTAAGTTGAGCTTCAGGAGGGTTTGAGCTGTATGTAAACGTCTGTGTAATGTGTGATGTTCTGCATCATTCTTAACTGCTCTTTCTGTCCTATTCTTTTTTCCCCCATATACTATTTAACACAGTTGGGTAAGTGCCCTGCCTGTCTCTCAGGACTTTCCATAGTTGACCTCCTGTGTCTAACTGTGTCACAATGGCCACAGCCAGGCTACCATGCTTTGAATACACCTGAGTCTTCCCTCTGTTACTTCAACAACTGTTAGTGTTCACTCTCCTCTTTAATTCAAATTTGTCTTTTAAGGATCAGCTACATTGGTGAGTCTTTCATAATGCCTTTCAGATAACATCTGTCCATACTGAACTGACTCTTCTAGAAACTGTCACTGCAGTTAGAGGCAATGACACTTTGTGACTGTTCGTTTGTACAGTGCTTCATAATATTGGAGAAACATTACAGAGTAAGCTAGAGGATTAGGAATTACTCAGAAATGGCACTAGATGAGTTACTGTGGAACAGGAAGTGATGACTGAAAAGGGAATGAATAACCTTAAATTTGAACATCAACAGTCTCTCCTCTTTATGCTACTTGCAAGATTCTTGTATTTGGATCAACATTATATTTTAGAGGCCAA